AGTGCAAAAAGAAACCCAAATAAAAAAGTAAAAAAAAAAAAAAAACACGCCAAAAATAACCCAAAACCCCAAACCTCTGCTTGGAGAGTAAGACACAACACCACCCCTCCAACAGCACCAGAATGGACTGTGCCAGACGAAGTTGCCTTACCAGTTTTGTGCAGCCAGTATTAAAGAAAGACGCGTGAATTCACCGCCTGAAGGCCTGAGGGTTTAGCACACGGTGTGGTACTGTCAACAGACATAACAATATCCACATATAAACTACAGCATCTTTTTTAGATCTCAGGAGACATTTTTTTCTTCAAGACGCTTCTTCAAGAAGGTGGGTGAATTCTTAAGGTCCTTAAGATATCGAGGTTCTTTTTAAGATGATGTGTTGAGCTGGGATTGTTAAGGTGAAGATAGTAGGGAGATAAGGGAGTTAAGAGTGCACAGGACAGCCGTGTTAGCGATTTTGTGTTATCTTGAAAAATGCTAAAACACGCAAACCGATTCTTAAAGTACATCGAATTACCATCTTTATCGATACCTGAACGGTTATACGTAAATGCCCCACACCAGATACGTTTTACCAGCACCACAATTATTAGACTTAATGAAGCATGGATCGTTCTAGAAATCTATTCCCAGTACGGTTTTTACATGTGGTAACAATATGCAAGCAAAGGAGTAGGTTACGCACACCAGAAATACCTGCACAGCCCCAATTTTACCTGCACTAACCTGCATATACCCAGTACATGAACCAGTGCAGGTTAGGTGCAGGTAGACATCAGAAATACCTGCACAGCTCCAATTTTATCTGCACTAACCCGCATATACACAGTGCATGGACCAGTGTAGGTTAGGTGCAGGTAGACATCAGAAATACCTGCACAGCTCCAATTTTACCTGCACTAACCTGCATACACCCAGTACATGGACCAGTCTAGGCTAGGTGCAGGCAGACATCAGAAATACCTGCACAGCTCCAATTTTACCTGCATTAACCTGTATATACCCAGTACATGGACCAGTCTAGGCTAGGTGCAGGCAGACTTCAGAAATACCTGCACAGCTCCAATTTTACCTGTACTAACCTGCATATACCCAGTACATGAACCAGTGCAGGTTAGGTGCAGGTAGACATCAGAAATACCTGCACAGCTCCAATTTTACCTTCACTAACCTGCATGTACCCAGTACATGGACCTGAGTGCAGGTTAGGAGCAGGTAAACATCAGGAATACCTGCACTAACCTGCATGTGGTATTTTGGGCCCTGTTTCAGAATTTAAGTTGGTTTTTGACAGCATTTTTATAAGACTAGCGCTGGCTAGACAACAGAAATACCTGCATAGCCCCAGTAATATCTGGACTAACCAGCATAAGCAGGTGGCATTTGGCGTCCTGTCAGGTCTATAATTATAAGATTTCCGGGGCGCCTCCTGTCCTGCTCCTGAATAGTTCATCGCAAGCTGTTTCCGCGAGGCTAGCTCCTAACAAGTCAGGTCTTCATCGTTAACGACCTGTTATTAACGTGTAGCGATCTTCCTTATACAACAAAACACAACCAGCAGGGGGTAAAATACCTGATTATACAGTCAAAACTGTGCTGTTTACCACCATTGCATTCGTCTATTTTTATTCAGGGTGGAAAAACATTAACTTAAGAAATAGGCAAAACTGGACGTGAAAGTCAATTTTGGTGGTCATTCTTTAATGTAGTAAGAAATGTACTAAGAAATGGCAGTTAATGTCAGATTTACGCATCCAAAATATTTTTGTTGTTGTTTTGCCGCCATGAAATCTCACTGGCAGACTTTAAAATCAGCGCCTGGGGCGAGAGATGGTCAGGGATATTAGCTTTAGAGAGTTCATATCAGGTGATCAGTACTATTGTTCCGAGGCGTCCATGCACAAAGGACCTGTTTCGTGCATCTACAGACTTTCTTCACCCAGCTGTAAAATGAGTACCTGACTTAAGTTTTTTTTTTATATTTCAACCGTAAAGTTTCATGACTGGACATGGTGACGGCACACTCAAGTTATATCAGCTTATCTTATACCTCCACCAACGTAGGGGACGAATATAGGACAGAACAATACTCATTTCCACCTGAGCGAAGTGAAGAAAGCCGTGTGAAGTGCCTTTCGCGAGGGCACAAGATCGGTGGCATGTCAGGACTCGAACCCGCGACCTCTTGGTTCCGAGTCGACCACTCTGCCGTTACGTCACCTTAAGTTGGGGAGGTATCACAAGTTGGGACATTATTTCTTATTGATTCATTGATCTGATTGATCATCTAATCGATTAATTTCTGCTTTCAAAAAAGTAAGATGGCGGCCGCAGAGGGGAACAATGCTGGTCATCAGCGCATGCGCGGACAGGAGTTCCTGGTATGTGGGATCTGCCTGGATCACTTCACGGTGCCGAAAATCCTGCCCTGTGCGCACACCTTCTGTCAGGTGGGTTAACTGTACACACAGGCGGTCAAACATACACACATACACAGACAAACACACACACACACACGCACACCTTCTGTCAGGTGGGTTAACTGTACACACAGGCGGTCAAACATACACACATACAGAGACAAACACACACACGCACACCTTCTGTCAGGTGGGTTAACTGTACACACAGGCGGTCAAACAGACCTTCTGTCAGGTGGGTTAACACACAGTTACACAGACAAACATACAGACAGACAGACAGACGGACGGACGGACAGGCACACACACACACACACACACAAAGGATCGCGCACACACACACACAGACACACACACACACAGACATACACACTCACATACATACACACAGACACACACATCTTCTGTCTGGTGGGTTAAACACACATACACACATACATGTTGTGCAGGCATACACTTATGCACACACACACACACACACACACACACACACACACACACACAGACACACAGAGAGACACACAGACACAAACACACACATGCACGTTCTGAAGGTGGGACAACCTCACAGACACACATACATGCACACACACACACATTTAAGTTCATATCGTCCACTGTCTCTATGAAGTGATGGCTGGAGTGTCCTCAGATATATATGGCTAGTCTCTACCAGACTAACTACGCTCGCTAACAACATTTACAGCTGCTGCAACAACCTTCCTCGGCCGGACTCCCCTGGCCAATTTTGCCAAATTTTTGGTACTTTTTGCCGAATTCTACGATCCTTATTCCCATAGAAAGCCCCGGTGGAGAGTAATATATCGCCTCCTTTAATTTATACCCTCTTATTTTTTGTCTTAAGGAGTGCCTTGAAACCTACGCCGGGAGAAGGCGGTTCATCTACTGCCCAAACTGCCGGCGTGTGGTGGAGCTGGACCCGGCGTCGGGTGTGCGGGGGCTGCCGGGTAACTTCTGGGTCACCAACCTGCGGGACGTCATAGCCGGTAGGTCCCGTTACACTCTGTGCAGTAGCCTCTACCAGGCTTCGGCGTAGCGGCAGAGTGCGCGACTCGGAACTTAGAGTCCCGGGTTCGAGTCCTGACATGCCACCGATCTTGTGTCCTTGGGAAAGGCACTTTACACGACTTTCCTCACTTCGCTCAGGTGAAAATGAGTATTGTCGTCCTGTCATGTATTTGTCCCCTGTGTTGGTGGCGGCATTAATATAAGTTGAAGAAACTTGAGTGTGTCGTCACCACGTCTGGTGATTACATGTTGGAATAAATTAAAAAAAAAAAGAGTAGAAATCGGTCAAATAGAGAGATAACATGCCGGGGGAGTTGGTCCGCTACATTTTGTACAAATTTACTCTTTAGTGGACCGGCATGTTATCTCTTTATTTGACCGATTTCTACTCTTTCCAGCCGCCTCCCGAAGCTTGGTAGAGGCTATCTGTGTAGAGCATTGGGGGTGTTGTCCATCTCAATTTTTGTAGCCCTTGGGCCACACACTGTGCAAACACTATAGGAGGGGCTGCCCGGAAACTTCTAGGCCACCAAACTGCGTGACGTCATAGCCGGTAGTTATCTGGTTATTGACCTACCTCTGGGTCACCAACCTGCGATGACGTCATAGCCAGTAGTTATCTGGTTATTGACCTACCTTGATGTATTTCCTTTTCAGCTTCACTCACATCTCACCAGGCGTAACAGTTTGTATTTGCTAGTGTACAAATGTAAAAGTGTAAAAGTTTGTATGTTGTTGCTAGTGTACCAACTATGCAAAGGTTCGTATTTTCTATGTTGTTCTAGTGTGCAAATATACATATTAACACAGACCTAGTTTGCTGATATATAGCTACGCCACCCGTTTCTTCACAGAACGAGATAGCGAGAACCCAGATGCCAAAGGTCGTCTCCTAGGCAACCGGTGCAAGCTCCACCCGGACGAGCAGTGCCGCCATTTTTGCCAGGACTGTCACGTTCCAGTGTGTGGGGAGTGCCTCTTCTCCGAGCACAATGGGCATGCGCTGGAGCGACTGGAGAGGGTGCTAGCTGAGGTCAGAAAAGAGGTAAGAATTTTAATAAGTCAGTTTTGATAATCATAATATAAGAAGCTGTTTTGATGTAAAAGTTCATATATGTTCAGCTCAGCAAATCGAAAAATTGGAACTCTTTTTAGCATGAGAATTTTGATTTTTTTTCTCCACATTTTCGACCAGTCTTCTGGTCTTCTTCATGCCGACTGACCCGATTGCTCAGGTCACGTGACCTTCTGGTCGTGTGACGTAATGGGGTCAAAGCTGGATAGAATCGGGTATCGTCTCTTCCTTGTATTTATTTGTATTATTATGTTTACCGAATGAAAACATATTGTTTTTGCTACGTTTCTTCTTCTTCTTCTTCTCCTCCAGTGACCTGACTGGACCAGACTGTCTCTCACCATCGTAACTCGTGTTGGGTTACATAATATTGCAATTTCATAGTAGGAGGGATTAATTTTTTTACATTTTTTTCTAGTTGAGGAAGTGTTTGGAGATCGCCCAACAGATTGCCGGCGAGCTAAAGATGGTTCTTCACGAGTTCGAGTCCCGGAGGGTGGGGAAGAGCAAGATGGAACAGCCACCGGAGTCCCCGGATGAGGAAGCGGAGAGACAGAGAATCGAATGGGCGGACGCCATGTTGAATCGACTGCTGAAAGCATTCAAGGTGACTCAAAGTCAAAATATCATTGTTAGTTTTTATACTGCTTTTAAAAACGCATTTCTGCCATTGAAGGAAATGGAAAGAGGGGACAAGTTTTCCTTTGACTCGAAAGTTCACCCATGTTCATCTTGGTAGAATACGTGACATAGGCAGTTTTAAACGTTGCCAATTGTTTTTTGTGTCAAGGAATGAATCGAAATCTTCCATGGCGTCACTATGCAGATTACAGACACGTGACCTACTGAGCGGTGGATCAGATGTAATGGGTAGTTTGTGGCTTCCCCCGTCTTGATTTAGGCAGGGTTCTGATGAAGGACATTATATTCTATATAATGGTTATGTGCTGATGTATCCTCTTTGTTTATTTATTTATTTGAAATTGCAACATGGCAATACAATGTTGCCGCCAGGGAGCTGATAGCTGATATTGCGACATCATATACAAATATACACAATAGACACATACATCATCATGTAATCACTTGTGCAATTCAGCCAAGCAATGCATATTGGCTGCCAAGCAATGTGAATAAACAGTTTCAGTTTATCCTCTTTGTTTTAGTTCTCGCGTCGTGCGGCGGAGCTGTGCGACTATGGCGGTCTGCAGAGGTGCAGAAAGCTACTAGCCGACCTGATCAACCAGGTAACTGCATAACGTTATCCCTAATGCTAACTCGCCTAGCTCTCTTTACAGCAGCGAGAAGTAGTTTTAGTCATTAAAGCATCGCCTAGCAAAGTACCGGAGTTACTGCCGCTTAACCTCTCTCTCTCTGTCT